TTGCTAATGGTTTTCATATAATTTTTCCTGTTGCTGGTATTGAAAATTCTAAAAAGTGGTACCAGTTAATTCCTTAGAGTTAATATTTATGGGAAAGATAATGGTAGGGGCGTTTTTTCACTCAGATTATAGAATGATAAGACCTTATTTAGCTGGATACACAAACAGTCACATGGAGCCCGAGGCTGGATCCCTTGGGCCCTTTTCCTAACAGATGAACCAGGTGCCCTGATCACCTCCATCACCAGTCACCAGGCTTGCTCATACCCAGAGGCCGAAGCCCTCAGCTCTTGTCTGTACATTCTGACCTTCGTATGTTCCCATCCTGTGCATAAGGGAGTAGATCCTGACACATATGGATTTTGAGAAGTTGCTTCCGAAATCCTTACAAGTTCTATACTTTGAGATCAGTGCAATTTCAGCATCCAGGAGGGAAGTTAGAGGCAAGATAACTCAGAATCCTGGCTGAGCTAATAGAAGCCAAATAATTCTTACAGACAGGCAGAGAGCGTTCCCTGATTTGAGAGCCACACTTACTCTAATTGATTTGTGCATAGTTGTGGATAGAGATCTGCCCTCTTCCATTTATTTTTCTCTTGACAAGTAAGATGTGAAATGTTGTTCCATGCCTTTCTAATTTAACTGTTGCACATGTTGAGAACTGATCTTGCCAGCCATTTCAAGCCCAGCCAAAAACATAACACATTGTTGTTATTAGCTTTTGTCATTTGGTCAGGGCCAACATTGTGTTTGGAACTATACAAGGGTATAAATCTCCTTTATAAGCATAACCTGCCATAAAACAGATACGATGAGAGGGCAGCTAAGTTTCTGTGGCGAGTTGCTCTGGTTAGATTCGTGGTGCTGATTTCTAGACCAGGGATGCTGTGTTTTTGCACTTAGCACACCCAGGCAATGCATAGAATGTGCATAGGAAGCCAAGTGAAAAAAAGGGGGTTATACTGTTTGGGGAGGAGCAAAGTGTAGCTTGCATGTTATTTGTATAAAACTGAGGTGCATATTTTGAGGACTTCTTGGAAGATTTCTGCTTAGGTAAATCTTTCATTCTTGCTGATGAAGCTTTTATGTGCAAGGCACTGTGAGATGAGCATGAGGAGGTATTTGTTGTTGTTGTTGTTATGTGCCGTTGAGTCGTTTGCGACTCATAGTGACCCTATGCACAACAGCCCTAAACCCTGCTCTATCCTGCACCAACCGCACTGCCTCTGACACACCCTGGGAGGTCCTACGGTCGAGCTGGAGTGAACAGCTCATGGATAACTAATATAAAGCAGTGAGTGAAAGGTACCCATACACGCAGAAGAGGGGAGCCCCAAGGAGAAGCAGCATTACCTCACAGCCCACACTGGGGGCTGCTCCCTGTGTCCTTGAAGCCATATGTACCCCATCAGCTTCTACAGGCTGAGGTAGATGTTATTATTTTCTAAAGTATGTAGCTACTCTGGTGGCCAGTAGAGTACTTAAATGAATGCTTGTTTTATTACATTTGTGGTAGCTTTTGCTTTGGTGTATGCTTTCAATTGATGGATACTGATACCTCCTTTTCTGGGCCTCTGTAATTTTATTTTATTTTTATGTTAAAAATTGGTCCAGTTAACTTGAAAGCCTGGAAACTATTGTCTTTATCAGTGCTCTCCGATAGAAGAACATTCTGTGATAATAGAAATGTGCTCTCCATTGTCTGCCATGGTGGTCATTAGTCATCCCCTGCAGTCCAAAGGACTTGAAATGTGGCTAGTGGGACTGAGGAACTGCATGTTTACATCTTTATTTCTTTTTCATTTAAATAGCTACAGTGATAGAGGTTATAGTGTTAAACCACTCAGGTGAACTCCGCTACACTATACTCTCGTAGGTGGCTACTAGGCTCACTTCCTCTCTTCCCACCGCCCCTAATCTGGAAAGTTCTTTAGGTCCTGGGAAGAGCTCTCCTAAATACGTATCAATACCATATTGAAGATCTTTCCTAACTGCCGAAATAAACTGGCAGCTTACACTTTTGTGTTTGTTTTTTTTTTAAATTTTATTGTTTTTTTTGTGCATTGTACTGTCAAATCAGATCTGACTGGTACAGGAGGAGATTGCCCCTCCTTCTCCAGCAGAGCATCTGGTGGATTCAAACCAGGTACATCTGGGATTGCAGTGCAGCTTCTTGCCACTAGGCCACCAGAGAGCTCTTTTTTGTTTTAACCACCATCCAATTCCCAGAGGCCCTGATGGTATTTTTATCTAGTTGGAACACATGAGATCATTGTTCTTATTTTTATTTTCTCAAGTCATACATAATTCTTCTTTAAAATTGTGTTCTTTTAGAAGCAAAATGGCTGTACACAAGGACTGGTGTTAGGCCCTGCCCAGTTGGAACCCATGTGACAGTCCCATGAGCTCGACTAGGCTGTCGTCTTTTCAGAGCAGATCAACAGCTCCTGCTCCTGCATAGCCTCAGGGTAGTTTTGAACTGCCAACCTTTCACTAGCTGTCACCTTTGCATTACCAAGCTCAACTCCATTCATTACCGTCAAGTCAAAGCTTGACAAGTGTTGACTCTCCCGAGGCTGTATATTGTACAGAAGGAAATTACCCATCTTTCTCCTTCAAAGCAGCTAGTGGATTTGAACCACTCGCCTTTAGGTGGGTAGCACAACTCCTACTCACTAGGCCAATGGATCTTCCTTCTTCACTACCAGAATTGTTTACATTCAGAAACCAAAATTACTTTAGGATGCTTGAGAAGTGAGAAAGTTCACTCTTTACTCTGATTTTGCAGATAGTTGTTGAGGTTGACCACATGGTCTTCCCTCTCTAACAAAATTTATTATGTTAATTAAGCTTGATTAATTAAATAATTAACGTATTACATAGCACTTTACAGATTATCTATCTTTCTCCTGGCCTCTAGCCTCAGGGTCTTTTAAGACTATCACAGTGTGTGGCAAAGTACATTATAACGGCTTCGATTAAAATCCATCTTTTATGTTTTTATTACCCTTGATCTTCATTATAAATATAGTGCTAGTTCAGTTACTAGCGATTTCTCTGTTACTTTTCCCACTAAGTTTTTGTCTTGGGCTGCTTTGCAAGATGTAGGAAGGAGTAACTTGTAGAATTCAGAAGGCCAAATGCCCAGAAGTCTCTTCGAGCTCATGCTTGAAGACTTTCCATCAATATAGTAAACATATTTCCCAGGCCAGTGGGTGGTGGGGGTGGGTACCGGGATGTAGGAAGCCCACCAGGAGTGCTTGCACCCCCTGTCCCAAGTGTGACGACCGGGCATGATTCTTGAGCTGCCTGCTAGGTGTCTCTCTCACCTCCTAACTCTCCCTACTTGGAGGCCAGAAGCTGGGCCAGTTCTCCAAGAACCAAGGTGCAGGCTAGGTTGTCCGCTGCAGAATCAAGAACTCAGTGTCTTCCCTCACCTCCCGCCTTCTGCTGGGCTTCACACTCCACCGATGGGACCTCTGGGCTCCTGGATAATGCCTATGGGGTATGTGCCCTAGATGATAGTGAAAAGGAGTGGTAGTTGAACCATAATCTCCAGTCTTGTAACAGGATACCTCTACCCTTTCTTTTCATTTGTACGGTTTAAACAACAGGCAGCAGATTTTGACATTAACATTTTGGAACATCTCATGGCACTTCCTTTTGCTGTTCTTTAATTAAACACATTCCTCTATCACCTGTTAATCTCTATTTTAAAGGGGACACGTGGGGGTGGTGGAGGAGAAAGTCATGTGTAAATATCTGTTTCCTCTGTGTGGGGGTGGGGTGGGGTGTGTGTGTGTGTGTGCACTAGAGATGAATCAGGGAGGGAGCACAGGAAGAATGTTAGCCTTCCCCCCCCCCCTTTTCTTAATTTTTTTTCTTGTACCGTCAAATCAGATCTGACTGATAGAGGAGGAAACTGTCCCTCCTTCTCCAGCAGAGCATCTGGTGGATTCAAACCACGCACCTCTGGGATTGCAGTGCAGCTTCGTGCCACTAGGCCACCAGAACTCCCTAAGAATGTTAGCTTTAAAGAGAGGTTGACATTTGCAAATTTTTTTCAAACTGTTACATTTGCTCTCCTTTCTATAGTAAACTGGAAAGTTGCTTAGTCTCATCTGAGTTCCAAGAAAAACGGACAGTGGTTTTTAACTTACTCACCTCCCTCTTTTGTAGGAGGTAGTAGCAAAGATCCTTAAGCTAAGAACCCTCAGGCTTTGAGAAGTTCTAGGAGCACATTACTGTTTGGGTTCCATCTTCCTCCTTTCCCTGGGGACATCCTGCCCCCCCCACACACACGCTCTTCCTGCCATGCAGTCAGGCCTCCACACCCACACCCTCCTGCTTCTGAGAAGCACTAAGTGTCCCTCCTTCCTCATAGAATTAGTTTCTTCTCCTTCGTAGATCTGTACAGACACAACAAAGAGCAACCCCATTGTATTGCTGCTAACCAAAAGGTTGTCAGTTCAAATACACTAAGTGCCTGACAGGAGAAAGATGGACACTCTTGGAGCCTCTGAATCCCAGGGAAGCACTGCCGTGGATCGGAATGAACTCAACAGCATGGGGGTCGACTTTGGGGTTTTCCCCTCGTTAGCTCCAGTGTCTGTTCTGCGGTTGGTTTAGTCATTTGACTTTTTAACCTTCATGTGTCCCTTTTATATATTTTAATTCAGGTTAAGAAATCAGGCCAAATAACGGTGTCTTTGGAGTTTTCCTTTCTGTTGTTTGAAACTCTCCCTGTTTCTTTGATTAGAGTATCTTGGGCTGCAGGCCTCTGATCTTCACTGTAGGAAACTAGTACGAAACTAATCATCTGTCAGCAAAATTTGGATTGCTGGGTGTTTTTGTAATTACCTGCAAATGTAGTAAGAAGGTTGCCGGTTTGATGAAATGCTTGTGAATGATGGCTTTAGGGAAATCAACTCTAAATTTTCAATATTGAATTCCAAATTGCTATGTATTAACACATCTGCCTCCTGCCTTTTTTATTTCAGTACCTACTAGAAATGAAAAGCCTAATCCTCCCCCCAGAACATATCCTGAAGAGAGGAGATAGTGAAGCAATAGCATATGCGTTCTTTCATCTCGCTCACTGGAAGAGGGTGGAAGGAGCGTTGAATCTCTTGCACTGTACGTGGGAAGGCAGTAAGTAATTTTCTTTCTTTGAAACGTTTCTTAAGAGTGTGGCAAGCTGTTGGGGCTGTTTTTACCCCAAGTGCTCATGCTGAATGGCAAAGAGTTGCACACTTAGACTCTGCTCTGCACAATGACTCATCTCTGAAAGGCGACCAACTGCTTGGACTCTCCGGCCCTCTCTGGGTGGTGGGGACTATTCTGGTGGAACCATCTATCTAACTCAAGAAGACCTTAGGTTCTTAAAATGGATTGTTTGAAGCCAACATTGTTCCAACAGGGGACCTTCTGCCATTCAGGAAAGCCCTCTTTGAGAACCTCTGGCATCCCAGGAATCGCTGGTGTGGGGTTAGGCTGGGTGCTGGGCTCTGCTTACTACTTTGTGACAATCACTATTGGAGGATTGGCCAAAGAGCCACAGTTGTCCTGCCGCAGGTCTGGGTTGGCCATATGTGAAGGAGCTCCAGATAAGAGCTTGGTGGGAGGTGTAGCAATTCCTTATAAATAAATGCCGTTTGGATGAGTGTGGGAATAAATACATCCAAGTATAGACACCATAAGAGCCCTAGTGGTGTCATGGTTAAGCACTGGCTATTAACGGAAAGAGAGGTCATCAGTTTGACTCCATCGGCTCCTCCACAGGAGAAAGATGGTCTGCTCCAGTAAAGATCTGTAGACTTGGAATCCCTATGGGACAGTTGGACCCTGGCTTATAGGGTCACTGTGAGTCTACCCACGGATGGGATTAACTCAGCGGCAGTGTCCAGTGGGTGTGTTAGCCACAAATAACATCATCCCGGCTGCGCAGGGAGGAGGCGTTCTCATGGGGTGAACATGTTCTGTACCCTGCAGCAGAGAAGTCTTTTATCCACTTACGAGGTGTTATTGCTGTTGTTATATACCATCTAGCTAGAACCAACCCACAGCTGGCCCTCCAGAGTCTTCAGAGGAATGTAATTCCATGAGAAGAGATTACCCATCTTTCTCCCAGGGAGTAGCTGGTGGGTTTAAACCCTGTGCCCTCTGGTTGGCAGTGCAGCTTCTTACCACTAGGCCACCAGAGCTCTCATATGTGCAGTTGTTAATGTTAGGTGCCAATAAGTCAATTACAACATGTAATGATGCCATGAATGACAGACATGAACCCTGTCCTATCCTGTGCCATTCTCACCAACACACTTGAGCCCATTGCTGCAGTCACCGTGTCAATCCATCTTGTTGAGGGTCTTCCTCTCTTTCCCTCTCCACCTTTCCAAGCGTGCTGTCCCTTTCTAAGGAACAGCTTCTCCTAGCAGCATGGGGTTGTTATTCAGAAGGGGGGGGGTCTGTGGAGTGGAGCAGCCATGGTTAAATGATGGGCCAGATGAGATTTGAACAGTGTCTTGAAGAACTAAGACAGCATTCTAAACAGAGGACATTGTGTGAAGAAATGCGAAGTGGTGGGACTGTGCCGAAGAATATAAATTTTAAAAAGGACCTAAGTCTGGAGATTATTAGGCAACATGTCCTTTAACACACTGCTATCGTTAATTTAAGCAAAACAAGCACAGAATGTGGCGTGTTTTCAGTTGGGGCTTTTTTCCCTACTTCTCATGGGGAATCAAAACACAAGAGTCCCCTGATATTTTCCCTCAGTTCACCCCTGTTCTGATCAGCCTTCTAGATGAGTGTCTTTTCAGCCCCTTCACTCTGTGTCTCTCTGCCCCTTTCATCTCCATTCTGAGAATGTGAGGCTCCTCCTTGTGCCCGCCCTTCCTTAACCCCGCAGGAGTCCAAGTGGGCACAGAAACCCCAGTGGGGGTAGAGCCGACTTGGGGACAGCAGAATGGACCGTGGCAAATGTGAATTGACAGAGAGGGCACTCCACTGAGTACACGTTTTATGTTCAGTTGTTGTGGAAAAGATTCCTTTCGAGAATGACTAGCAAGTCTACTTATATAATTTACTACTTATAACTTGAAGGCTGTTGATTTGACTGATGCTGCCACCTTCATGTCTGTTGGTGTAACAGTGTATTCCAGCTGTGCCCCTTGGCCCACCCTGGCAGTTGTATACCGGCAGCCCCAGGGGTAGGACTATTAGGAAGACCTACAAACAACCTCTTCCTGTGTTTTTCAGTGGAATTTGTGAATTACAGCAGGTGTGAATGGTTCTAACTGAGCCAAGTTTAGTTCATAGTAGGTCAAGGGTCAGGCTGACTTAAAGCTCAGCCCTTCAAACCTACTAGCTGCTCCACAGGAGAAATTGAGGGCAGCTCCTTCGGTATAGATTTACAGCTCTGAGGATGCTATGTCGGGTTATTGTGAGTCAGCACTCACCATGTCAATGGGTTTCGTCAACAATTCATTTCCATCGAGTGGGAAGGGACTCACAGCTGACCCTCCAGTGGCTGTGAACCCCATGGGAGGAGATCTCCACCAGCAGAACTCCTTGGATGTGATAGTTGTTAGTATTCATGCGCTGTAATTTCAGTTTAGTACACAGAAGAGCCCTGGTGGTGTAGTGGGTTAGGCAGTGGGCTGCAAGCTAAAAAATCCACAGTTTGAATCTGTCTGCAGCTCTATGGGAGAAAGACAAGGCTGGCTGCTCCTGGAGAGATTTGCAGCTTTGGAAACCTACAGGGGGGGGTGGGCTGTGTTCTACTCTGTCCTGGAGGGTTCAGAGTCAGCATCAACTCAATACAATGGGTTTGGGATGGTGAATGTTAGTGCAAAAAGTGTCTGAAAGCCTTTTCTGTGATTTGGAAGTTGCAAAGTGCAGTAAGTAAAGGTTATTTTAGTGAAAAATTTACTGCAAACGTAAGTTGGTTCAGTTCTTTCAAAGTGAGACGAATTTACATAGCATTAAAGGACACGTAGGAACTGTGAGCTGGCCATGAATCTGACCGTCATGACCTGGGGACTGCTCATACCCTGGGTCTGTTCAGCAGAGCAGCACGCCATGCTCCAGGCACATGTGGACAAGTAGGAGTCCCTCTAACTCGAGCTTCTTGAAGCATGTGACTGTTCTAACCAGAAGTGAGAAGGAATTTTTAAGTAGGGGTGAGGAAAAAAGACCGAAAATGCCAGGCTGGGTGGGACGATAGAGGCCTGTCCTGGTGGCAGTGGTAGGTATCGTAGAGTTGGAACCAGCTCACAGCTCACCCACTATTGAGTTCTCAGAGGCAGTAAATGGCATGAAACTGGCTTGCTTTCTCCTGAAGAGATTTGAAATGACCTGCCTTTGAGTTGGCTGTTCAGCTCCTTACCCCTAAACCACCAGAGCTTCTTTCTGGTGTTAGTTGTATACGAAATTAAAGGGACAAATTGCCTCACAAAATAAGAATGCATTTATATACTGGCATCTTGGAAATTTCATAGTGGAAGCTAATCAATTGGCTATTAGGAGTTCAAGTTAAAAATCTTATAGAAAAGGCTTCAAGCAGTGGCTGGGAGGGACTTGGGGTGAGAAGGTTAGAAACATCATGTTAAGAATGGAACAACCATAATAACCTTAAATCCTGTGAGGAATAATTGGACGTTCTCTTTGGAAATAATTACCCATGTAATCAGGCTCAAGCACAGCAGAGACTGTAGGGGTGACATGGGGCCGGACAGTTGTGCATAGGGGTCCCTGTGAGTCAGAACTGACTGGAAACCACCTGACAACAACACCATCCAGTAACAATGCGGAGACGCCCTGCATCAGCTGGGCGGACAAGGAGACTAGAGGACCCACGTTACACCGGCAGAATGTTCCACGTAGGCAAGAAGAAGAGGAGCAATACGACAAGGCGGTGAGGAGACTGGGCCCCTGCCCGTTAACCTGATCACTTAAGAAGGTCTTGCATCCTCTGTTGGTAGAACCAGGATGTCACCCCAAGTGCCCCTTTTCTTCTTAAGTAGAAAGGCCTTGGAGGGTTTCCAGGACTGTCTCATCTTTCTCTCTCGAGATGGTTTCTAACCTCCAGTGTTTTAGTTAGCAGTTAAATGCCTTAAGCACGGCACCACCAGAACACCACTCAAAAAACTCAACTCCTTGCCGTGGAGTCAGAACGGACCCATCGCCAACCTTTCAGTGAGTTTCTGAGACAGTAAATGAAATGAGAGGAGATTACCCGTCTGTCTTCCGTGGAGCTGCTGCTGGATTCGAACCATAGTCCAAAAGAGAGGCATGGCCTTTGGGTTAGCAGTGCAGCTCCCTCTGAACGACACCACCAGCACTCCCTGAGAGCCCCTGTCAACTCAACCCAGTGCTGTGATGTCTAAACCAAATCCTTGCGGATCCCCCACTGGGTTTTCAGAGGCCGTAAATTGCACAAGAGGAGATTGCCCACCTTTATCCCATAGAACAACTGGTGGATTTGAACTACTTGCCTTTAGGATGGCAGCACAACTCCTTACCCTTTAAGCCACCAGAGCATCAGAATTCCTATAAGGACTCAAACCAAACCCGGCCCACGGCTGTGTGGCTGCTTCCCACTTATATAGTTCCTGCCCACTGAGTTTCCAAGACTGTGAATCTCTACAGGACGGGGCTACCCTGCTTCTTCCTGAGAAGAGGCTGTGAGATGCAAACTTCTAACTTTTTGGTGATCAGCCCCTTACTTTATGCACTTAGAGGCCTATATGAGAGAGAAAGTCTACATTTGGGGCTAACAAACATACAGGAAACGTCTGTGTAAGTCAAGTAACTGTGATCACAGCCGATTAAAGTCTGTGTCCTAAAGAGCAAAGGACCCTCACTAAACCAGTCACATGGCTTTGCAGTTTCAGAAGAGAGTCATGACGTTCTGTTTTAGAAAAGAACCATGAGCATTCTGACTTTGTATGGAATGCCTTAGAGAATACAAAGAACCTTGAAGAGTGTTTGTACAACTGGATAATTTACAGAGAGTTTGCATTTACATCATTTCATTGACTCTTGCTAACATCCCGAGCTAGGCAGGACAGGAATGGCCGTCTCAACTTTTCAAGAGATTAAACAGATTCATTTAATTAATGATTTGTTGAAGGTCTTGCATCCCCTGTTGG